CACTGTGAGACTCCTTTAAATCAAAATTTATAAAAAACTCAGAGTTTATACAAAAAGAACCTTCACCTTTTTTATCTGTGCCCACATTAGTGTCCCAATATTACAGAGTAAACCACATTCCTGCAAACAAAGTGGATGATTCTATAGGCAGGAAAGTCCTAAGTGTCTTTTTACTTCCCAGGAACATCAAGGGTAAACAATTCTGAACTCATTGTTTGGTCTCCCTACATCCTGGGGGCTAGCTGTGATTTTTGGCTCAACAGGCATGCCTAATTTTGGCCCAACAACATTGAGAACTCACCCAACATAGAAGGCTAATCATCAGGATTAGTAAAATACAAATAAGGAGGGCTGTTGGTATCGTGCTTGTTTGAAATTCAGTTATAAACCCTCAGTATCACAATCTCACAGTCTAAATTCTAAATAGAGAGGAATGCCCAAAGATGCATATGGAGGTATATGGCAAAGTTATCCACACTGTAAAAACGAGAGGTGACAAATTAGGATGAATACTTAATCAGCATTTAGGTAGGAGAAATATAGGCTAACTTTCTAACAAACAGCAACATTCTAAGCCAGTACTTCTCTAGAAATGCAGGTATACACCTAAAATACCTGAAAGACCCTAGCCTTTCATGACTGATTCCAGGCCAAGGAAATCTAGGCCAGGGCTAGTTTATCCAGGCCTGGAATCTGAAATCCTTAATTTTGTGCTTTCACTACTTCTTAAAACAATAGTTAGATATTGTCTTCCTTTTTTGGGCCAAACCTACGACTGGCCTGACAAATGCTTTCAGAGTCTAACTATGATCCCCAGCAGAAAAACAGTTTAGCTTTGTTTTTAAATGCAACATGAGAAAAAGTGGAGAACAGAAGAGAGATGCAAAGTTTCAGCTGATGTATCTGCTCAGTTTCTGCCTATTCCCTGATTGCTCATTTAAAGGGAACACATGGTGGTGGTGAAAGGCAAAGTGTCACTGAGCTGCAAGCCAAACCAGACATGATTTTATGACTATGTGCAGTACACAGATCAGTTCTTCCTTAGTTCCAATGCAAAGGAAAGGCATGGTTTAGAGAGAGAGCTTTATGTTCCTTGTTACTTTTGAAAGATTTCAAAAGCAGCCTTGTTAAAAGAAAAAAGGGCTCAGCTATGAAATCACTTCCTTCTGTTTAAACTATTTTACTCAAGGAAAAAAACAAGAGGGCATGAAAAAAAAAAAAAAAATCTGTTCTCTGCTTTTGACTTTTTCCTAGGATTCAGCATCCCACCCGCTCTGTGGGATGACGCAGTGTGCCAGATCCCGACCGCTCCAGTCAGTGCGTCAAGCAGCCATAGCCCTCCCCACACAATCACCCTCTTGTCGGAGACAGCTGGCACCCTCCCTGCACATGCTGACAGCATCACTGCCTGAGGACTGCACCCCTTTGGGGCAGCTCTTCTCCTCTTGGAGCAAGGCAGCAAGGCATGAGGAGGGCAGGCCGTGTTAGGCAGCTAACAAACAAGAAGCCCTTGTGTTATTCCCTCCCACTCCTGCCACCAAACACAGCGAGAATGCAGACAGGGGAAAAGATGCTCTTCTGCTTGCAGCAGCAGCAACATGGCTTTGCCTGGGAGTACAGCCAGCAGGACAACTCCAGGACACCCGTTTATGGAAGTTTAAAAGTCAAATGAACAGTTCACTGCTGCCCAATTCACAATGGGGTTACTTACGGCTGAGCAGCATTTTAACAAAGATTCTAAAATGAGGAATGGTTGCCTCCCTCTGCCAATGCTCACAGGTTTACCCAGAGCCCCAGTTCTGTTTTCCTTTCAATCCCAGGGCACCCTCCCTCTCCTCCAAAATGAATTGTCTTCTGTGTATAGCAGGCTGACACAAACCAGCTCCCTTCCCCACTCAGCTGTGGGGAAGGAAAGGAGGGAGAGGCATCTTCAGAATAAACTACTCTCCTTCCCAGCTCCACTTCCTGCAAAAAAGTTTGTTTCTGTCTCAAACCAATGTATTGACCAATGTAGTATTACCCTGATCTGCACCATTAAGAAAGGGGTTCTTGTACATGTTTTTGATGTTCACTGATGCAGAAAAAGCCAGATAACATGAGATAAATGATCAGCAAATTGCTCCATGCATACTGACACACTCACCTTTTCTGCTCTTCCCAAATCTCCAGTAGATAAACTCAAAGCACTACCTTTTCAAGAAGGCACTCAGGAAATATGACCCTTGAAATTAAATCTTCTGCTTAAGAAAACTTTAAGCCAGACTTACAAGTAAAGTGCAAACAGTGATAGAGCACCACCACACCTGCCTGATCAACATGCTGACCACACTCTTTGCTTGAGAGATACCTGCTGATATCTGAGATATCTGTTGCCCAGAAGTGCTTTGAAGTGACGCTTAGCTTTTTTTCCTTAGAACCACAAAAAATCCTCCCCTGAAGTGCAAATTCAGCAATATGGGATGATACTCCCCAGCTGATGACAATTAATGAAAATTTATCATGGTGTACGTAGCAGTCTGGTAACACCTTGATGCACAAATATTTAACTCCCCCAATGTGTCTGCAATTACCCCCAAGCCTAACTCTTTACTTCAGTCTCTTCTTTATTTATTTATTTCTTAAATTAAAAGAATTTACACAACAAACCCACAACTGTTTCCCAACTATCTTTATCTTGCAACTGTGCCTCCCAGGTGGTAAGGAGGTAAAAGCACTGCTACTTCTTTACTCTACAGGCCTACGACTGACCTCCGCTAGCTTTCCTCTAGAAACCAAACTGCTTAGGAAAAAAACCAAACTGAACCAAAAACTCAAACCCATTGCAAAATAATACCAAGGTGGGAGCTGCAAAAATGATAAAGAATGTCACAACCTACGAGGGCTTTTGTTGCCTTTGAACAGATTTAATAAAATAATAACTTATTGTTTTCTGTAAATGGTATTTTATGCAGATTAGAAGAGATACTTAAGTACAATGTGTGCAAAACACTGAATGAAGTGCAGGAGTAACAAGAAATAAGATCCTGTTTGAATTTTATAGAAAGCTTCAACATGTGCCACTTGCAGTCCTGAAAAATCTCACCTTTATGAGGAATCAGAGGTATTACTGAACTACATCTGCAGCTAAACTGAATTCACCTCCAGTTTAGCTAATGCCCCTTAACCCCTGGAGTTGTTTCACTCTTTCTAGAATAATACCTGAAATAAATATATTTATTAGGGAAAAGAAAGGGGTCACTTTACATTCTTTGTACACCACTACTGTTGTGGCCACGGTGAGTGGCCTGTATATCTTCCCTCTGACCTCTTCTCATAGGAGACTGATCCTTCCTGCTGCATACACATACCTCTAGAACCATACATGTTTGGGATTAGCTGACATTTGCTATTTATTCAGTGACTGTTTATTGCTACAACTCCACATTGCACTGGTAGAAGTGCCTACTATTTTCCATCCACTTTTTTTAGTAGCTGTTTTTGGGGTCTTTTGCCTTTTTTTTTTTTTTTTATTTTTGTGAAGTCTGAGCCAGTCTTTCACCTCATTGGAAATACTGTATGAACAATAATGTCTTCAGGAAGGAAAACAGAGAACTGTTTCCTAAAAGAGGACTGCAAAACCCAAATTTTCTTGGTATTCTTAACCTCATCTTGCCTTCTGCCATGACAATCATGGAGATTGGAAAGGACCGATTTTTGAAGCACCAGGAGGTCAGGAAAGGTTTCACCAATCACTAGAGTCTCCCTTGGAAATCTCATATAAATGTTTCCCTGAAGACAAGAGCAGGACATGGAGGAATACATCTTATCAATGGTTTAACAGGTTAGTTAACTGCACAATTCATATTCTGGTCAAAATGCAAATCACTAGGTCAAAGTACAACACGTAAATTCTTAACTAAAAAGTGAGTTGACACAGTGACTCACACTGAATCTCTGCCACAATTCTGGCACGTTTGTCAAGTCACAGAATAAAACTATGGGAACCATAATGTCAAGGAGAGAAATGGGAGTAAGTTTTGGGCTTTGTGGACTGCATAACAATTGCATTTATGAACTGTTAGGGCAACCATCTGATGCAACAGGGTAGAGGGATACCTGGAGACCCATGTACTGTAGTGGAGGGCCTAATAGGTGAGAACACATATTGGGACAAGGAGACAACCTGTACCAACCATGCTTGCTGCCTTCAGCTCACTATCATCTGCAGGAACAAAGAACAGAAAAACAGCAAAGAAGATCAAGAGGGAACGGTACTCAGCCTTTAGGCTGTGCTGCATAAGGAAACTGGGAATCCCAGACAAAACCCAAGTAAAACTATTCACAAAATTACAATAACCTCCTGAATCCAAAACGTGTTATGGTATTTCCCTCATGCCAAGCACTGAAGCCTACGCACCTCCCGAGCAGTGTGCTGAAGCACACCCAGTATCTCACATGCTACTTTCCTGTATTAGCAAATGCACCAAACACTATAGGACTGGGTACATGCAGTCCTGCTTAACACACAATCTTTTTGTGAATAGCCTGACTGTAGCTTGTGATTGTTCTCCATATAATGGAATTTCACATAAATACACACAACACCTTTCAGTAGAGAAAAAGGAGACAACAGATATTTCAGTGTAACACCGAGCCTTCCCTGTACTATTTTAAGTTTGAAGCCATTTGGTATCTTCAAAGGCAAAAAGACAAACATTATATAATAGGTTGCTACAAAAGATTTTAAACACGCATTGCTGCAAAAAACCACCACATTACATCTGGATTTTCACTGGTTTCATGTTACAGGGCTAAGCGACCATGTCAATTCCATAAATAAGCTTGATAGTCCCAGTGATCTACTTAGAGCACCCAGTGGTGAACTCTGTGTGCTCTTATTGTCTGCACCTGCTCCAGTGTCTTCCACATTCTGCTGACCCCCAGGAGCTGACCACGCATTACTGAAATCACCTGATAAGAAACAGAGCAGGAAGAACAGGGTGGGCAAAGTAAACACTTACCAAGCACAATGACCACAGTCTTCAGGAGGCTCATCATGGTATCCCGATTCCTGCGGGGTCCAGAACTGTGTCTGGACATTCTCATAGTCCTTTGGCGAACGTACCCAAAGATGTGAGCGTATAGGACCACCATGACCACAAAAGTGACCAGGTTGAAAATAGCCCAGAAGACCAGGTAGGAGTCACTATAGAGCGGTGCCATGTTGGAGCAGTGGGTGATATCACAAATACAGTTCCATCCGACACTCGGTATGGCACCCATGACGATGGCCATAGTCCAGATAACAACAATGACAACGACCACTCGGCGGTTGCTCATCCGAGTGTGCAGCTGCATTCGGAAAACTGTAATGTGCCGCTCAATAGCAATGGCCAACAAATTGGCTACAGAGGCTGTCAGACTGGTATCAATGAGACCCTGACGGAGAAGCCAGGTGCTTACAGTCAGTCTTCTAGTGTTGGGTCCTGTGTTGAACATTAAGTAAAAGTAGGCCAGCCCTGCAAAAAAGTCCGCAGCAGCTAAGTTGGCCATTAAGTAATAAATAGGAAAGTGGAATCGGCGATTCACATAAATAGCCACCATAACCAAGAGGTTGGCCAGCATTATGAAGATGCAGACGGTAATCCCCAGTCCCATTACAAGCTTGCTGACAGTGTTCCATTCAGTGGCTAGATATTTTCCACTTCGGTTATAAAAGAAGGCAATGGTTTCATTGTAGTAGCACTGTGGTTCACTCATGGCTGTAGACTGAAAGAAGAGAGAAAAAAAAAGAGAGAGAAAAAAAACCCAGAATGACATCAGAACTGAAAACATATGATTGTCTTTATGGCTAAGACATACACAAAGAGTGGGGAGGGGGACAGAAAGGAACACACTTCAGAACAAATTTATTGTTTCAGACCAAATGGCATTCCAGAACTCACAAACAATTGCTCTGAGGAATCTAGTAACAGCAACCAGATTAGAAACCACCAGAAATGGCTCCATCTGCTCTCGGAGCCAGCATGATTTCTGATGTAGCTGTAAATTGCATAAAAAACAAGCTTCTGGCCAAGCAGATCTGCTGAGAGATTCAGTTAAAGGCATGCAATTCATAATTAAGAAAAATTAACTCTGCTAGACACGTTATTTATGTTATTAGTGCACAGAACTGTTGTTTGAGTGTAGCGGAAGAATAGTTCATCAAAGAGGAGGAAATGTGCGTTACATTTCCAAGTAGGTTTTAACTCATTCCATTTTCCGTCATGGGTATTCCTTCTTGTCTTGTCTTAAAATGTGGGAAGAACACCCTAAATAAAGATTGTCAGTATGTTCTGAGACCGTGAATTACAAAGGATAACGTATGTCCATAAAAAGTTCATGCTTTTATGAACAATAAAGGAAGCATGACATAGCATTTCTATGAGCACCAGCCACATTTCTAGAAATGGTTTGAAATATACAATGCTTTTAAACGTAACTCATCAGAACTGACTTATTCCAATTTGAAATAGGAGTGAGCCAAGAAATAAGAAAAGCAATATTTGGCTTAACTAGTGTTAAAAGCATCCAACCTTATTTCCTGCATTAACTATTGTCGTGGCTATGCCAGAGAACACATGATTATTTTTTTTTTGCGGAGTACTCCGCTGAGAACAGCTGGGGGGCAACAAACCAGCCCATATTCCACTAGAATGTGGAAGTTTTGGATACAACTGTTGGCTTATAAGAAAATGCCTAATGAGTTTCCTTTTTAAGTTCCATGCAATTACTCAAGGTGCAATTCCCAGAAGGCAAACCTTAAGAAAATAAACCCCTCTGAATAACATCCTGGTTCCTTGTTTAACATGGGTAAACAACAAAGATGTAAAAATAATAATTTAAAAAAAATCAAACCAATAAACACATGTCAAAAAGTCTCTTTCTATATAAGATCTGCCTTTTCCTCTCTGTTTTTATTGCTCTGGAATGCTATCACCTAAACTTGAATTTTTACAAAAGCAGGACCGGTTTTGGCAATGCAGGTAAGCAGCCCAATCAAGGAACAGATCAACAACACTAAAAGGCGGTAATTTCTTCCCATTAAAACATAAAAGTTAACCATAGATTTTGGACAGCTCCAGTTACTCTGCAGGAAGTGCTACAGCTAACCTAACCTTCTTGTGGAAAACAAAACATACAGAATTGGGAAACTAAATTCATGACTTGACTCAAGTGAAAATAGTATCTGATAAAGATCTCCTTAGAATTACCCAAAACTGTTTCTGTTTCTTTTCATGTCTACATTTGTCAATGCAATTAAGCCAGTTCCAATAAAGCAATATACAAAACTTTCCATCTATATCCCAAATGGACTACATGACATTTAAATTTATGTTAAAGAAAAAGGTCTTTTAAGAAAGATTTTACCTCCAGCCTAAACATTGACCAGAAACATTTGCAGTCCCAGGATAATAAAAAAGCTAGAATAAATAGTATTCTAAGCCCAGTGAGCATAATGCTTTTCTTGCTCCTCTAGGATACATCAACCCTTGGGTTTGAAGCCTTTTAGCCTTAATTATTTAAGAAATTTTGAACGTTCTCATGTAGGATCAGTTGCATATAAAAAAAAAAATTATTATAAGGGGTGTTTAACAAAGGGAGACCTAGCTACAAGACATCTGGCTTTAATTCTTTGGTTAAAGACCTTGTGGTAATAACAGGTCAAGTATAAGAACCCTTGAGGGAGAGAGGAAGTCATATGCATGAATTAGTGGCCCTTATAAAAGCTTGCCAACATCTGCATTAAATATGTAATGCACAGGATTTTTAGTCTCTGTAGGAATATCTGGATTCAGGACCTAGTTGATACTTGTGATCTTGAATAAATTCTCTTTGCCTGTGTATTTGTCACTGTTTTTTTCTTTCAGATGTCTGCTGCCCACATGTAATGAATGATTCCTGCTCCTCTGTTGCTCCTATGGAAAGAGGTCTGCTACACCTGAAAAAACATATATTTTTAATTCAGAAATTTAAAATGTGGCTGGTATTATGCTTTTACTTTCTTTTTCCTTCTTTTTTCCTTTTTTTGTTTTGCACATGGGCTTAAAATGTGAATTATTCCCTGATTGTGCAATGCTCTCCCCAACCTTTTAGTTTGAAATCTGAAACACAATATGACAAAAAATATGACTTAATCATGAAATGGCAAGGTGGAATGTACATACAGACATAAGGGTATGTAAAATGCTACAGAGCCAGACTTGTTCAATTTAAAACTTTGACAGCACTTGAGCAATCTCGGAGAAGCTAGCATGAGGCTCACTTGCTACTTCTCTCATTTTGAAGGCAGAAAACCAAAATGCTGTGTTCATGTAAGGAATTTTGGAGAAGTTTTGTTTCTAAGGTATTCTAATCTAAAACCTGGGACCTCCTGTAAAAGTAATCTTTTCATGCCCTGCACACCCCACCCCCCTTCCCAAGGGAAAGAAGAGAAGAAGATGAGACAGTTTGCTGGCAAAAATTCCAGCAGGGGACTTCCAGATGATCACCTTTCTTGGATGCCACTTAAAGGAAGGTTTTGACCTCCCAGGTCACAAACATAAAAATCCCAAGGCATCACATTTAGCTGTGATGCTGATTGGAAAGGCTCAAGCAGGAGAGAACTGCACTCTATCTCTCAGTACTCAAAGTGTTAACATACCACAAAGGCATATGCAAGCAAGCAGACCCCATTCCCCTCTCCTGCCCCTGCAGGAAAAGGGGCAGGGAAGTTTATATTTTAATTTCCTGAAGTTTCACTCAGTGTGTTTCACTGCCTGTGTAAGCCAGATGTGTGGTGCCCGGAGATTTACCTCATCCATCCAGTGTATCTCAACAGAAGTTTAAAACAAACTGAGCTGCAAATTGCCCATGTTAACTAAATCTCTAGGACAAATCTGTGTGGAAGAAGTAAACACTGAGCTGTAAACCAACAAGACAGATAAAGAAAAATTGAATAGAAGCAGGTTAAAAACAAAGTCTCCTCCTGCTGCACGAAGATGACCCAATACACATTTGTCCCAAATCAAAGAAGAAGAAAATCACAAGTACATGGAATTCAATCTCTTAATCCCATGAGCCCAGTGCACACAAACCAGGAAATTTGGCACCAGGACTTAATAAATTAAACTCACTCTTCAGCAATTAGTCATTCCATTCACCTTGGCGCTGGCCTTTTCAGGCACTATTTGCCTGGTTGTCTCCCCTCCTCTGGTTAGACGGGTGCCAGTGGGAGCACTGGGAAGAAGAGCCCATGTAAGATTTCCCATGTTTTGTGCCTGATTCATCTTGCTTCTACGCCACCTCTGCATCACACCCTGAAGAACAGGGTGAGGATTTAGATCCACAGCAGCTTGACCACTGTGTCCCTGGGAGAGCAGCTCATTACTACCTGTCCCTCCTGGGGCAGACACAGCAGTGGAGAACACACTGTCTGCCTGGAGCAGAAGGTGACAGGGGATCTCTGAATCCTGCCAGCTCTGTGGTGAGTGACAGTTCACCCGGTGAGGGCTGCTCACCTGGTAAGGACTGTGTATGGAGAGATGCTTGGGGTGGAAAGCAAACATCAAAAAGTCTTCAAATACCATTGCCTGATCCTGCCTAAACAAAGCGTTAATTAGCACGAGGTGCCTGAGGGGAAGATGATCAGTTTACAAACCCCTCTGCAATCTCAGAGTTTGGAGAGTTCCTTGATCCACGAAACAAAAAAAAAAGGCAAGTCACTGTCTCCCCACCCCCAGTACCCATGGGTGCACCTATTTCTTGTCGAGAAAATCACGGCAGAACATTCTTTGAATATTAAGGTCTGACTTTTACAGCACTTTTCAAACTTGTAAGCCACAAAGAAAGAATCCATATCCAAGAAATCTCTTAAAAATATTTTAACCTAGACTCTCCAAACACACTCTGCTCCTCTCTTTTTTGTGTTTTGCTGAATTAACCTCCACATGCCACTGTTTTCTTACCCAGAACATGGAGGAGAAGAAAATCAATTTATTTTTCTAATATTGTTATGGTAAACTAAGACTACAAAACCATAATAACTCTGTTATATCTATACATTTAGAGCAGCAGTGAATGGAAACCACTACCACTGCTTTCAGCTTGCGTAAATATCTTAATTTTACCAACATACTGGAAGGGGTCAAGCTGAAGAACTTCATGGAACTGCCAACTTCAAAATCCCCAAAGAAGGGTATAAATTAAGAATATATTTAAAATAAGGATAATCAAGTAAGTATAGGTATAATTGAATTAATACATAAATACTTCAACCCACAACTGCTAAACATGGGGTTTAGGAAAGTAAAGTTGTAACAGATGAGGGAAAAAAATCCAATTTGCAAACACAGTTGTCCATTACCTAATGAAAAACACAGATTACTTTTCAAACTGCAGAACATGAAAGAAAAGGTTTAAAATAAAGCAGAAAAGATGTGTTTCCTTCAAAGATAAAAGTAGAAGTAAAAAAAAAAACCAAAAACCATGAAGTCACAAGAGTCCTGATTCATTATAGCCTTATGCACAGACATGTTTTTCATCTGCACAATGGAAGAAGGAAACCCTATTACCAACACAGAATGGCTCCTCCTCTTCAGAATTGCATCTCCCAAAGTAACCATTCCACAGACTTAAAGATAAACCTGTATAATAAGATGGGGTGGTTCTGTCACAGCAGGTTACTTCATTTCACTAGATTCATTTTGGCCTTCACAAAGGTGACAAGACAGGAGGAAATTAATCTCTCT